CTGAATTTGTTTTTCATTACTCCTTAAACTTTTATCTTTTGTTTTTGGGATTTATTGTCTTTACTTTGGATTTTTAAGACCTTTTGCTTTTACATTTTAATTTATGGAGTAATGTTTTATTTACATCTCATTTTTGCATGTTATTGAATTATAATTCTTGTTTAATGAAGATATGCAAGACAATATGGATATCATTGTGGATAGTGGATCGAGCCACACCATTCTAAAAGACAAGAATTACTTCATAAATTTAGTAATCAAAACCGCAAACATTAGCACTATAGCGGGTAGTTCGAGCCTAATAGAGGGCCATGGCCAAGCTAATGTGTTGTTATCAAATGACACATATCTAGACATCTCTGATGCCTTATACTCACCCAGTTCTAAGAGAAACCTATTGAGTTTCAAAGACATAAGATTGAATGGTTTCTATATCGAAACTCAGGATGAAGGGAACAAAGAGTTTTTAATTATCACTAAAATGATAAATGGCCATAAACAAGTTTTTGAAACTATACCCGCCGTATCTACTGGCATTTACCATGCTAAAGTCAGTATGATTGAGGCTAATGCTGCTATCAAAGCACGGTTTTTAGATTACACTATTTGGCATGATCGCCTGAGTCATCCCGGTGCGAACATGATGCGTAAATTAGTCCAGAATTCTAAAGGGCACAGCCTTAAACCAAATGGTATTTTCCCTCAGCACCTCAAGTGCACAGCTTGCTCACAAGGGAAACTGATTACCCGACCTTCACCAGTCAAAGTGTCTAAAGAGACCTTGAACTTTCTGGAAAGAATCCAAGGAGACATATGTGGACCAATTCACCCACCTTGTGGGACATTCAGATATTTCATGGTCCTCATTGACGCATCGATATTTCATGATCTGTCTGCTCTCTTCTAGGAACCAGGCTTTTGCTAGGTTATTGGCCCAAATCATCAGATTACGAGCCCATTTTCCAGACTTCCCATTAAAGACTATACGTCTTGATAATGCTGGTGAATTCACTTCCCAAGCGTTTAATGAATATTGTATGTCCATGGGGGTAAGTGTTGAACATCCCGTTCCACATGTCCATACACAAAATGGATTAGCTGAATCCTTCATTAAACGAATTCAATGGGTTGCTAGACCATTACTCATGAGGTCACAACTCCCGGTCTCAGCTTGGGGACACGCAGTCTTACATGCCGCTGAACTAATACGCATACGACCATCTAGTGAGCACAAATATTCACCATCCCAATTGCTAACGGGTCATGAGCCAGACGTCTCCCATATTAAAACATTTGGGTGTTCAGTCTATGTACCCATTGCACCACCACAGAGGACTAAAATGGGACCTCAAAGGAGGATGGAAATATATGTTGGTTTTGATTCTCCCACCATCATAAAATATCTCGAGCCAACTACAGGAGATCTGTTTAAAGCCAGATATGCAGATTGCCGATTTGATGAATCGGTATATCCTAGATTAGGTGGTGAGACAGACAAGCTGGTAAAAGAACTTTCATGGAATCAAACATCCACACAATGGCAAGATCCTCGGACTCTAGAATGTGATTCAGAGGTCCAAAGAATTATACATTTACAAAAGCTAGCTAATCAATTGCCAGATTCCTTTGCTGACCCGAACAAAGTTACCAAATCGTACATACCAGCTTGTAATGCACCAGTACGAATAGATGTCCCCTCAGGGAAAAGTCAAGTTGCTACAGAGTCTGACGCACGTAAGAAACGTGGCAGACCACCAGGTTCCAAAGATAAGAATCCCCGGAAATCAAAGAAAGGTGCAATGATTGAAACCGGGATTCAAGAGAACACGGATACAGCCTCAGCTGATACTTACCCTATCGAACCATCTCAAGAGGTTTGGGACGCCAAAACTCAAGGTTCTGAAGGGATTGATAATAATGAGATCTCAATCAATTATATCATATTCGGTTCTCTATGGAACAGAAAAGATGTCGACATCAATGAAACTTTTGCATACAAGGTAGCACTTGAGATTGCGCACACGCAAGAGGATCTAGAACCCACGTCTATAATTGAGTGCACTCGTAGATCAGATTGGCTGAAATGGAAAGAAGCCATAAACGTGGAGTTGAATAGTTTAAAGAAACGGAATGTGTTTGGTCCGATCTTAAGGACACCATTCGATGTTAAACCAGTGGGAAACAAATGGGTCTTTGTGCGTAAAAGAAACGAACTCGGCGAAGTCGTTAGATACAAGGCACGCCTTGTAGCACAATGATTCTCACAGAGACCCGGAATCGATTATGAGGAGACTTATTCTCCAGTGGTGGATGCAACTACATTTCGATTCCTCATAAGTCTGGCCATAAGAGAAAACTTAGATTTGCGGTTAATGGATGTTGTAACCGCATATCTTTATGGACCACTGGACAGTGAAATCTATATGAGATTACCAGATGGTATTGAGCTCAAAGATAAGCATGCATCTCGTGATAAACACTGCATTAGGCTGAACAAATCCTTATATGGACTGAAACAAAGCGGACGTATGTGGTATAACCGGTTAAGCGAATATCTCATCAGAGAAGGCTACGAAAACGATCCGATCAGTCCATGCATCTTCATCAGAAAATATCAAAACAAAGGATTTGTAATCATAGCAGTATACGTGGATGACTTGAACATCCTCGGAACATCTGGTGAAATCGCCCAAACAGTTGAATGCTTAAAAGCAGAGTTTGAAATGAAAGACATAGGCAAAACTAAATTCTGTTTGGGATTACAACTTGAGTACGTCAATGACGGAATCCTTGTGCATCAATTGGCATACACTGAAAAGGTACTCAAGAGATTCAATATGGACCAGGCCCACCCATTGACCAGCCCAATGGTTATGAGGAGCCTTGGATTGGATAGTGATCCATTCGGTCCAAAGAAGGACGATGAAGAAATCCTCGGTCCTGAAATGCCATACCTCAGTGCCATAGGAGCATTAATGTACTTGGCTAGTCACACTAGACCATACATCTGCTTTGCCGTGAGCCTCTTAGCTCGCTTTAGTTCGTGTCCAACTCAAAGGCACTGGAACGGTATTAAGCACATCCTTAGATACCTTCAAGGTACTAAGGACTTGGGATTATTTTATTATAACCATAACAAGGATGGTCTAGTTGGTTTTGCTGATGCAGGATATTTGTCAGATCCGCACTGTGCCCGGTCTCAAACCGGTTATGTTTTCACGCATGGAGGAACAGCCATATCTTGGAGATCCATGAAGCAGACTATTGCCGCTACCTCATCCAACCATGCGGAAATCTTGGCCATTCACGAAGCTAGTAGAGAGTGTGTTTGGTTGCGGCCCATGACTCAGCATATCCGATCAGATTGTAGTATGGACGAAGATAAGGAGCCTACGGTGATGTATGAAGACAATGCAGTTTGTATCGCTCAACTCAAGGACGGCTACATCAAAGGTGACCGGACGAAGCATATTCTGCCCAAATTCTTCTTCACTCATGAGCTGCAGAAGGATGGTCAGGTCAAGGTTCAGCAAGTCCGATCAAGCGAAAATTTAGCCAATCTATTCACTAAATCATTACCGACTTCTACACTCCGGAAGCTCATTCATCAGATAGGAATGCGTAGACTTAGAGATCTACAGTGATGCCTAAACCAGAGGGAGTAATGCGTGTTGTACTCTTTTTCCTTCACCATGATTTTTCCCACTGGGTTTTCCTGGTAAGGTTTTAATGAGGCAACGTTCCCCAGCGCATTATAGAGATCCCGGTTTTGTGACAGGCACGCTACCTTGTCCAATGGGGAGTGTTATAAACAAATGGACTTCTAGTAACCGGCCCATTAACCATCAGGTTAATGTCTCATGGCCCATTAGGGTTTCTGATACATTAATTATGTAATGTATATATACACTGCTTATGGAAACAATAAGATAAGAGTTTTTCCCTTAATAATTATGATTATTTTATGATTATATGTGCATAAAAATGGTCTAAAGTTTAGATTTTTTATTTGGTAGAAGAAGAAAAAAAATCTACAGTTATCTGTAGAATCTTGGTTTTTTCAAAAAAAAAATATTATGGAGAAAGACAAGGTAGATATTTTTCGGTTTAATTTTTTTTTTTAAATAACCAAACAGGACCTGAGACTCTTTATTTTATTGTCGACCTCAAAGGTTTGGCCAACCTTGGGTGATGTCCTAAGTAAGATTTTGTATGTTCAACGACCTTTTTCCAAACATAATTGATTGTTTATTGAAGTTAATAAGCTATCCCAACTCATTAACATAAATAATATGTAAAGATATTCAATCTATTTATCGTTTTTCTGCAATGTCCAAACAAAAAAAAAAGAATCATTTGCAAAAAGTAAATGCGTGATCGAAGTTGAACATACCAATCCTTCATTTTCTGCCCAGTATTTCTACTAGTAATTCAATGACGGCATGCAATTGCAAAAAGTAAATGCATTATCCAATGATGACATGTAATCTCGTTTTATTGGTTTCGTCGAAGAGAATGTTTTACTTTTACAGTACAAATAAAAGGAAAAAAAAATGAATTATGATATCAGAATTCCTAAATATGTAAGAAATGCTCATAAACACATATATCTGTTTCTGTAATTATTATTTTTCGAAAACTTTATACAGTAGAAACTCTTTTTTTATCAAATACAGTAGAAACTCTATAAATTAATATACATTATATTAATAATTTGATTATTTAATAATTTGTTTGTCTTAAATTAAATGTTTGATCCAAGTAATTTTTTATAAAATAATAAAATATTAGAGTCCCAACTTTATTAATTTATAGAACTATATACTAAATTTGTAATTTTGATTTAAAATAAATTTATTTGCAGAAAAAAATGTAAAAAGGCCTAATAACGATTCTAAATGAGCCTACCTATATGGGCCGTAAAGGCTTTGATCTGTTGCAATATTTCACTCCACTTGCAAAACCTATCTTCTTCTTCCTACTTTCGCTCGTACCAAATGACCTCCATGAAGAAGAAGACCTCATAAACCTTCGAATAAACCTCTCACATCAATCATCTTCCTCATATATCAACACGCACGAAAGCTATGGTAGGAGCTTCGAGAACAATCCTCTCCCTCTCTCTCTCTTCCTCACTCTTCACCTTCTCCAGAATCCCTCACGTTGTCCCATTTCTCCGCCTCCATAAACCTTCCTCTAGATTCTACCACGCTTTTCGTCCTCTTTGCGCCGCCGCGACTGCTCCTACGGAAACTAATATCGCAGATCCAGACCAATTAAAGCACACGATCTTGCTTGAGAGGCTTCGGCTCCGTCATTTGAAGGAATCAGCGCCGAAACCACAACAGAGACCGAGCAGCGTTGTTGGCGCAGAGGAAGAAAACAACAGTAACAGCAGGAGAAAGAATAAGCTGGCTGAGAATTTCGAGGAGCTAGGGCTAAGCGAGGAAGTAATGGGAGCTTTGAAAGAGTTGAACATTGAGGTTCCTACTGAGATTCAGTGTATCGGAATACCTTCTGTTATGGAACGAAAGAGCGTCGTCTTGGGTTCGCACACTGGTTCCGGCAAGACTCTTGCCTATTTGCTTCCTATTGTTCAGGTGACTCATTGATTTTGTCTCGCCATTGTTTTTTTATCGATATGCTTCGTGAGCTCTGAAGTTAAAGTGTTGCAGCTTATACAGTGTTTGGATCATGAATTGCTTGTTAGCTCGTTGAATGATTTCGTTTTGATCGAAAACAGAAGGTCTAAATCTGTTGATTTGCTTGTGTATATTCATATATCTTGTAACAGTTTGTACATATATTCATTTGATTCATCCTCAAAAGTTGATATCTAGGCACTCGATTTGATTTGTGTCTTAGTATATTGCTCTCTCTGATCTAATATTGTGTTGATTCTTTCGAGTACTATATATGAAACTCGACAATGGACATATCCATATTGAGGTTCAAGTTGTATTGATTTGAGTTTTGCAGCTGATGAGAGAAGATGAGGCATCTCTTGGTAAAATAACAAAGCCTAGGCGTCCAAGGACTGTTGTTCTTTGTCCCACAAGAGAACTATCTGAACAGGTAGGTACTTCAAGTGCTTTTGTTTGTGTTTTTACCAAGATTAGTTACTGCTCTGTACAAATGCATGTCTTAAAAGTTTGTCAACTATTGTAATTTTGGATTCCTTTATTGGCTCGACTATTTTGAAGCAAAAGGAAAAGTGTAGAAATTTTATCTTCGTGGAAGTCATGGTTGCCTTCTTGTAGGATAATTATAAAATTGGAGAATGATGTAATATGTGATCACTGATTAGAGTATTTATTTCAGCTTGTTTATATTTCATGAATGCTTTTAGACAGAGAAATGGTGAAAACTAATTAAGGAGTCTGCATTAGGTTTACCGTGTGGCGAAGTCCGTAAGCCACCACGCGAGGTTCAGATGTACATTGATCAGTGGTGGTTCTCGGATAAGACCACAGGAGGATTCTTTGAACAATGCAATAGACATGGTTGTTGGAACACCTGGTAGGATTCTTCAGCATATCGAAGAGGGAAACATGGTCTATGGAGATATCACATATTTGGTATGCTCCATTTTGGGTTCTTGACATTATGTTCCATGGTTCTTGTTATTCTATAAACAAAGGGCAATGCGAACCTTTTTTTACCCAGGTGCTAGATGAGGCAGATACTATGTTTGATCGTGGCTTTGGTCCCGATATTCGTAAATTCCTTGCCCCATTGAAACAGCGTGCGTTAAAAGCAAATGACCAAGGATTTCAAACCGTCTTAGTCACTGCTACTATGACAACGGTATGCATATGTTCATTGGCCTCAAATTTCAAATGCTTGCACGATTTATAAACTCTTTGCTCCTTACATCTTGAACGTAATAAATGAAATTGTGAGTTTTCAGGCTGTTCAGAAGTTAGTCGATGAGGAGTTTCAAGGGATAGAGCATTTGCGAACATCAACGTTGCATAAAAAGATAGCAAACGCTCGGCATGACTTCGTCAAGCTATCAGGTAGTGAAGATAAGCTAGAAGCACTACTACAGGTAAATGCATCATTAAGATTCTGATCTTTGAAAGCAATCAGACATGTTACGGTTCTTGTTTGGGTACTTATACATTACTTATGCTTTGATGAGAATGCAGGTTCTTGAACCTAGCTTAGCCAAAGGGAGCAAGGTGATGGTCTTCTGTAACACTTTGAACTCAAGTCGCGCCGTTGATCACTATCTTTCTGAAAACCAGATCTCCACTGTGAATTATCACGGTGAAGTTCCAGCAGAACAAAGGTAGGATTAAAACAGCTTTGCTTACAATCATTGGTCATTTCTTAAGGAACGCATTGCCTTAACTAAGGTGTAAAAATCGGTTCGCATTTCATCTATGCAGGGTTGAGAACTTGAAAAAGTTTAAAGACGAAGAAGGAGACTGTCCCACACTAGTGTGCACGGATTTGGCTGCGAGGGGTCTGGACCTCGACGTAGATCACGTAATCATGTTTGATTTCCCAAAGAACTCTGTAAGTATATTGGCCAAATGTTTGTGCCTAAATCCTTATTTTTTCTTCTCTTAACTTGTTGATCGGCTTTTCTTGAGACCTGAATTTACTTAAACTTGAATTGCTTAGATCGACTACCTTCATCGCACTGGAAGGACAGCTCGCATGGGTGCTAAAGGTTTGTTCCTTAGCTCTACATTTTGCGACGTTTTCAAGTTCCTTCTCTTAAAGTAGCTGCTGTTTATGGTCAAAAAAAAAAATGGTTCTTGCTCTGACGTGTGATGTGCGTCTTTTTTACAGGAAAAGTGACGAGCCTGATAAGCAGGAAGGACCAAATGTTAGCTGGAAGAATCGAAGAAGCTATGAGAAACAACGAGAGCTTGGAATCACTCACAAACGATAATGTGAGGAGAGACGCTGCGAGAACACAAATCACTCAAGAGAAAGGAAGGAGCGTTAAGCAGATCAGAGAAGTGAGCAAGCAACGGAACACCAGAGACAGAGGAGCATCATCTCCTCCTCCTGCGAGATCAACTGGTGTGAAGACACCATTGAGAAAGTCAACTTCAACTTCAGCGAGAAAGTCAACTTCAACTTCAGCGAGAAAGTCAACTCCGGTTTCAAAACCCCGAAAATCATCATCTCCTCCAGAAAAATCTACAAAACCGAAAAGAAAAATACTAAAAACTGTTGGATCAAGATCGATTGCTGCGAGGGGCAAGAAGGGTTCAGAGAGAACAGGTAAGAAAATAAGTGTTGTTGGTTTCAGAGGTCGATCTTCTACGGCAAGAGCCTCTTAATTTAACATTCTGGTAACTTAATGAAGTCAATGGTGAAAGTGAATTATGTTCGGATTATGATTACTAGAACGTTATAGATGAATCGTCTTAAGAAGACCATAATATGTTCTTTCTTCTACGAATTTCATACCAATAGAAGAAATTCACTTTTTCCTAGAGATATAACTCATAAACTTTTGACCTGCTGTAAAATAACCAGTGAAGTCTGTTTATGACATCAATGGTTGGTTTATAATATATTATTTTTTATAAGCAGAATGATTATTTCTTTAGAAAAATGTTTTTTCTATATACATATACGACAAGAAAGAGCATCTAAAGGTCGAGTTTTGCTTCAGATCATAAAAGAAAAGGAATTCTAGAACTGTCCCACATCGAGAGGAGAGTATAAGAGGAGACCAAAGTTGTCGCTATAAAAACGAAGTGTTTAGAACAACATAATTCATACATTTCTCGGTCTTTTGGCTAAATCAAGTGTAGTATCTGTTCTTATCAGCTTAATATCTGATATGTGGTGACATTGTTGCCACATGATATTAACTTTATTTCTGGAGAGACCATTATGGCAGTTCACTGTCTGGGCTCTCTAGTGTCGCCTATGCGTTGCACTCTTGGAAAGGCTTTTGGCGCACCCCACCATAACCAATAAAAAAACTTAGATAACTTGGTAGAGCTTTTTGAGAGCGCAATTCTAATATTTGGTTTTTAACTAAAAACTGTCCCACAACATTGAGAGAAGGAGAGAAACGTTTGAGATATATGGTTATAACTTATAAGAGTGGCTTAGAAGTTTTAGTGTTTTACTACACCTTCCCCACCACAAATTGGCTGTTTTTTTTCTTTTTAAATCATGTGATGTCATTGCAAGATTTTCAATTTAAACTAAGGCTATCTTTCATCATCCAATGTGGCTCCATGAGAACAAAGAAGTAAAAGGGCCACAAAGCTCTATACTTTTTTTGTTTTGACATCCTCTATACTTTGGTATAGTTAATTAGTCAATGGTTTGTTTTCTAATTAAAATGTCCCACATCGATTGTGTTTACACTACTCTAACCTTATGTACACTTCCACACAAGGTTCATTGTTTGTCCCTTCGGGGAGATTTGATAAAATTGGAACGATACAGAGAAGATTAGCATTGTCCCTACGCAAGGATGACATGCACAAATCGAAATAGTCCAATTTTTTTTTTAAACATCATTAATTACAAATATAAATTAATTAGTTTCTTGATAAATCTTGAAAGATTAAACAAATACCAGTTGATACAAACAATGCTTTTAGATGCCTATATAACCTTCACTATTACTGCGTAATCAAATTGTTTATGATGAATTAACGTCTAACCATTTTTTATTTCAACAGTCTAAGTATCTAGAACGTATCTAGAACAGTTCGATAAGTCAAACCAGTGGTACTAATTTTACATACATAATTTCTTGCTAGGTTGTTTGCTTTTGAATTTTTTTGCGTGTGGAATACGATATCGATAAAAAATTGAATTTGTTCTTCATCTTCTCAATCTTCTCCAAGTGTAAAGTAAAAACTAGTCATTTTTCGGGTATAGACACCATCTACTTCTGAACAGTCTGTTACAAATGCTACTGACGTCCTTTGATTCTCTAGCCCATATATATAAGGGCTTCCATCTCTTCATGCAAAGAAGAAAGACTCCGCCACCCATTTTGTTCTTCCATAGTAAATTTCATAATTCCTTCTTTAAAGTAATACCATCTTAAATCTGCTACTAAATCTGTATCCTTCCAGGAGCCATCAATATAGAACCACCATTCATCGTACTCTGTCATTATTAATAAGTCCAACCATTTACGGTGAATTATCAAAGATATATTACAACGAAATAATGAGTCAAAATTTTCTACATATTCATTCGTACTTTGTTGTAATTTAGCGGCATTCTAGTATCGATCTAACGACAAATGTCTTTTCCCTGTTATTACCATTGATTTAACGATGAATATTTTTTACAATGGATTCCTTTCCTCCTATAATTTACGAGTTTCGTCATAATTGTTTTACAAATCCAAACCCTTCACAAAATTGTGACTGAGATTTGAGGGTCTTCGGTCAATATAACAAATAACGTTGGTTGTGAGAACACTTTGAAAATTTATGGTGGGAAAAAAGAAAAAAAAAAGACAAGCAAAACTGATCCCAGTAAACAAACAACTTTTTTTATGCTTAAGTTACCGAGTGATGAATCAAGTGGTGAAGAAGAGCGGTAATCACACACAGTGTCGTTTCATAAACACATTTTATGCCTACACTTACTAGATTAAATAAATCTTTTTATCTATTTATAATAACAATATGAAAAACTACAAATGAACCATTGTGTTTTTCCATTTAATATTATTTTTAAATTATATATTTTTATGTATAACTGATAATTTTATAAAAAAATTAATATTAGATGGTTGTGTTTTTAATTTTATTTAATTGTTTTAAATTATACATTTTTATGTATAACTGTTAATTTAATGAAAAATTAATATTTTATGGTTGTGTCTTTTCGAGTCCGACTACTTTGGCTAAGGCTTATAGCGATTATGGTAAGTCGCGACACCTAGATCGTAGATATAGCACAAACGTGAGCTAATCACTTATGAGATAATTACTATAGGATTTATTCAGTATCAACAAAATCTAGCGGATCACTTGACAAAAGTATTACCTAGAGATTTGGTGATCAAGTCGGCTAAACGGATATGATTAAAATCTATTTAAAATCTTGAATGATGGGATATCCAATTCCCTTAAAATACAACATTAGAGGCTTAATTCAATGGGGAAAGCCTACATTTTAAAGATTGAGGCACTGGTTTATATCATCCCAAAGTAAGTGCTTAGAGTAGTGTGGAAATTTGTGTGTAATATCTTCATGTGCCCAAAATGAGTTGAAAAGATTCAATTCATAGGACATCCTGGTTCTCAGACATCATGAATTTGGGATATATGTTGTTTATTTAGTGAATCTATGATTACTCTTAAATGGGAGAGGAATGTTGAAGATTTAAGTGTTAAATTTATTTTAGTGAACTATTGCAACTCTTGATTTTATGGTTATTTAACAAAACATTGCAATTTGTGAGATAATGGTTATTTTACCAACTATTGCAACTCTTGAATTTAATGGTTATTTACTAAACATTGTAACTCTTCAGTTTATGGTTATTTTACCAATCATTGCAACTCTTGAGTTTATGGTTATTAAAACATTTCAACTGTTGGAATTATAGTTGTCAGGACGAATCGCGTGCTTGCATGTGGCGTCCATGGTTTTTTTTCAGGTACGGCCCCCTGGGCCAAATAAGGATACATATTGGACCTCCGGCTCAATATGGTCTAAGCTTATAGCACCGGACCTCGAATCCATTCGAATTCAGGAGATCTAGCACGATATGCCATCTGTTCTCGAACTCCTCGTATCTGATAGTGCAGACCACACTGTTAAAAACAAGGAAGTTGGAAACTGAGTGGCCACATTCTCGGTGATCCAGAAGGGTCAGGATATAAAGAAATGTGATCCGCACAGGTAGCCGGAGAGAGAAGTAATCCATTCTCGACAGCCCGGTCCCAGTATCAAGGGAACTGGGCCAGGTATGAGTATTCCTTTTAGGGAAGAACACTATTCATATTTCCCTCCATTTGAAAAAATGAATATGTCTTAGTCTGATTTTATCATCCATACCATTACAAACCAACGAGATTGGCATTTAATGCATCTTTCTTACATGTGTCAGGTGGCAGTGACCTTTCGCAGGAGTCAGGAGGAAAAGCAGAGGTTCATCAAAGACCCATATCGTGTCAGATCCGCTGACCTGACTCGTACACTGAAGGTGAGAGAGACGCGCCAAGGAACTGTCTCACAGTAGGAAGAACACGCCAAGGAAAGTTGGTGAGACCGTCAGAAGCATGACGCCATCACAACATTCGAGCCCAATCAAGTCAGGTCATGGGCCGATCCACCCGATTCACTATCTGCGGATTGACCCGGTATACTAACCTGGGTCAGGTAACTCTCTATAAATACTTTTCTCTTTTCCACGGGAAAGAGGTTCACATCTTTAGCCATCTTAAATCTCACGCTATCTCTCTTGATATTTGTGGTTCTTAAGTTCAGGCATTCAACATTCTTCTGACCATATTTTCCGGTCACTCCTCTTCACATCGCCTCCATGGTGGTTCCTAAAGCATATAACTTCTTCACCCACAACTCTTCTTTTCTTCTCTTTCCACTGCAAAAGGTCATTTCCATCAAAAGGTCCGAGTAGATCCTACCTTTCTCAAGGACTCTTGGCCCAGTTTTCTTCTATAGTTTTTTTACTTCTTTCTGCTCTCTTATTGGGCATTTGCTGGTCTTTTGAGCTGTTTTCTGACTTGAGTATCAGAGAGCCTTCGGAAAACACACCCCCATCGTATTTTACGGGCCTTCACGTTTTCTCTATTTTGCAGGAGACTTACCCATTCTCTAGGACTGCAATTCTAAACCATTTCAACTATTCCTTTTTACCTCTTGGAATTCTATTAAAATTGAAACATATTTGGAGAGAAAAAAAGAAGAAGATAGGAGCAAGGAATTGGAAACAACAACCAGAAAAAATAACATATAACAAACACAAACAGTTCTACTTGTATTTCTTGTATCGTAGCCTATAACAAGAAGAAAAATTTGATTGTCTTATCCTATAAGGGATTTTGTATAAGGGATTTTGTGTTCCAAGACTTGATAAAAGTCAAGATACTCTTTGCTTCGTATACGATTCAATCATTATCCAAGTTCACAATATAGTAAAATTTGGGTTCAACCACAATTTTTTTTATTAATAATAACAATAGGAAAAACTACGAATAAACCATTGTGTCTTTCTGTTTAATACTATTTTTAATTATATTTTTTTGTGTATAACTGCTAATTTTATAAAAGATTACTATTGTATGGTTGTGTCTTTTCGTCTATTTTGTCAAATAATAAAAAAAAGTAAGAATGAACTGTTGTGTCTTCCCGTTTAGTATTTTCTTTTTAATTGTAATTTTTCATGTATAACTGCCAAATTTATCAAAGGGTACTTGTGTCTTTTTGTTTAATTTTAAAAAATTATATATTTTTGTGTATAACCATTAATTTTATGAAATGTTACAATTGTATGGTTTGTATACTTTTGTTTATTTTTTAGTTGTACATTTCAGTTCATAACTGCTGATTTTATAAAAAATGTTATAAATTTTTTAATTGTTGTTTTCCATATTAAGAAGACAACTTTCACAAAATCTATGACCATATGGAACATATAGAAGACTTTAATGATTTATATAGTAATATCTGCCATATTTTGAAGTTTTTCATCATTCTCAAATATACACTTGTAAGAAGGTAATTAAATCTTGAGAAATTGGTTTCTAAACAACAAGGAGCGGATAAAATTCTTGAATAAATTGTTCTTCTGTAATAGGAGGCCTTACTTTGCATATCTGAAGATATAAATATAATATAACTTTATTCAAAATAGAATAATTATTAGATGATATTATATGGTTCGCAAGATTAATGCAGTTCCTCAGTATTGTGGATGCATTATTTACTTCAACACCTTCGCTTCTCAATCTTCCATACTAGTACTCTTTATCTTCTCTTCTGACTCCTCCATATATATATATATATATGAAATCATAAATATTACAAAAAATTATTAGGATAGAGTTAAGTTGCAGAAGATTTTATATGTATTGTGATGCTGCCAGTATAATAATCTTCAATTGATTGATCAAATCCAAGAGCGAATGTGCAGATTGAGTTTTTTATTTATTTTTAACTTCATCTTCTTCATTAAAAAGAAAGAGTATAGTCCTCATGGTGAGCAGTTACAATAAACATAGGAACATAAAAAAAAGAGATACAAATTGAAAATTAGGAAATACTTTCTTTAATAAAAGATTGGCTGGTTGGTTACTCCAACTCCATCGTTGTACCCATGAGAACTCAGTACATTGAAATCTTGTTTTCCAAATTCAGATTTCACGAACCAGATTATGTAGTCCAAAATGTTGGTCTGTCCTGGTAATAAGCTTTGGTACTAACAGAAGAAAAGTTTGTTGAGCTGGAAAAGGAAAATATCTTCATTGATTGTTGAAAATGATTACAATGTTTGTTATATATGAAATGAGAACA